GTATACTTTTGATTTCTAATAAGTTTGACAGAGTTCTTTTTTATTTTGGTGCATCCCATTCATTTATTTTGAAGAATTTTGTTTTGATTTAACTATTGAGACTGCATGTTTTACACATATTTTGTGTGTTATGTTGTAAATGGAAGATAATTTGTCTGCCAATAGGATTTGTCTTATGAATTTAAATATTCAAGGTCACAAATTTTCAATAAAATTGATTATAGTGCCTATCAAAACTTTTGACCTTATTTTGAAAATTGATTGGTTAGTTAAATATTTTGCTATAATTGAATATTTTAAAAAAAAATAATACAATTTAATTTACCAAATGAGAAGACCTATTTTCTCTGTGAGAAGGATGCAATATCCTCCCTAGCGAGTGCAATGAAGTTGGGTAAATATTTGAGGGGTAAGTTAGTCTTCTTAGCTAAAATGGAGGTCATAAATAAAGATATTCAGACATTACTGATTGTTCCAACAGTCTCTGAATTTTCAGATGTATTTCTTGAAGATTTACCTAGATTATCACCTGAAAGAGAAGTTGAATTTAGCATAGAACTACAATTAGGAACATCAACAATTTACAAATCTCCTTATAGGATAGCCCCAAAGGAATTGCAGGAATTAAAAATGCAATTACAGGAATTGATGGATAAGAGATTTATTAGAGCTAGCCATTCACCTTGGAGTGCGCATGTACTTTTTGTTAAGGAAGATGAATCCATAAGAATGTGTATTGACTATAGATAGCTGAATAAAGTGACAATCAAGAACAAATTTTCATTATCTCGAATAAATGACTTATTTGATCAGTTAGTAGGCGCCACGATATTTTCTAATATTGATTTAAGATCAAGATATCATCAAGTGAGAGTTAAAGAAGCAGATGTCAGTAAGACGGGTTTAAGGATAAGGTATGGTCATTTTGAGTTTAGAGTCATGTCGTTTGGGTTAACAAATGCTCCTGCTATCTTTATGGATATGATGAATCAGCTTTTTAAAGACTACATAGATAAGTTTATGATTATTTTCATTGATGACATTCTCGTCTACTTGAGGACATATAAGGAGCATGCTGAACATTTATGAAAAGTTTTAGAGACATTGAGGAAAAATAAGTTGACATCATGGTATACTCGTGGACTGTTGAACATGAGCAGAACTTTCAAACATTCAAGATGCATCTAAACATAACACCAGTATTGACGCTTTCCTCAGGAACAGAAGGATTTCAAATTTACAGTGATGCTTCTTTGAAGGGCTTGGGATGTGTTCTAATGCAGAACAGAAAGGTGATTGCATATGCATCTAAACAGTTGAAGCCACATGAAAGAAATTATCCTACTCATGATTTAGAACAGGCTGCAGTGGCATTTGCTTTGAAGATTTGGAGGCATTACCTATATAGGATAAGATGTGAAATTATTACTGATCAATAATACTCAAAATATATATTTTCACATAAAAAACCCAATCTGAGATAGAGAAGATGGTTGGAACTCATCAAAGATTATGATTTGGATATTTAGTATTGTCCAGGAAAAGTCAATATTGTGGCTTATGCTTTGAGTCACAAATCTACAAGAATGATGAATTTGATGATTACTCAAGAGATTCAATTGATCAAGGAGATGGGAAATCTACAATTGGAGTTTATAGATTTAAAAAATGTGGAATACTTGCATCAGATGACAGTAAAATCCACTTTAATAGATCGTATCAAAGAAGCTCAAAGGCTCAGTACTGAATCTTCACGATTGATGGAGAAGGCCCAGACAAGGAAAATACCAGATCTTTTTGTTGATGTTAATGGAATCATTAGGCACAAATTTCAATTGTGGGTACCCAATAATCTAGATTTAAGAAAAGAAATTTTGCAATAAGCTCATTATTCTAGCTACAAAATTCATCCAGGTAGTATCAAGATGTATAAATACTTGAAATTAATATTCTAGTGGCTGGGTATGACGAGAGACATTACTGAATATGTAGCTAAGTGTGAAACATGTTAAATTGTGAAAGCTGAACATCAGCGACCTGCTGGATTACTGTAATCACTACCTATCTTTGAGTGGAAGTGGGAAGAGATTGTAATGATTTTTTTAATGGAATTTCCCATATCCAGACAGGGACATTATAGTATTTGGGTGATTATTTACACTAACAAAATTAGCTTGCTTTTTGCCTATAAAACAAATTAATTCAGTAGATAAATTGGCATGGCTGTATGTGAAGGACATTGTCAGATTATACGATATTCCAAAAATTATTGTCTTAGATAAAGTTGGTCGATTTACTTCTAGGCTGTGGAAAAGCATTCATGAAAGCTCGGGTATAAATTTACATTTCAGTACAGCTTTTCAACCTCATACTGATGGTCAATCTGAAAGAAACATTCAGATACTATAAGATCTATTAAGATTATGTGTTTTACATTTTAGAGGTAGCTGAGAGGATCACATATCATTGATAGAATTTGCTTACAACAATAGTTACCAATTCAATATACAAATGGCACCATATGAAACACTTTTTGATAAAAAGTGCAGAACTCCCTTAACTTGGGTTGATGTAGGAAAAAGATAGTTAATGGGCCCAAAACTAGTGGAGGAAGCAATGGAGAAAATTAGATTAATCAGAGACAGATTAAAAGTTGCTTAGGATCGCCAGCAAAAGTATTATGACCCCAAGCACAGAGTAGTAGAGTTTAAAGTTGGTTATTTTGTATACTTAAAGGTTAAGCCTGTAAAATGGATAGCTAGATTTGGGCAGGGAGGCAAATTGAGTCCTAGATTTATTGGACATTTTGAAATTATTGAAAGGATTGGAAAAGTTGCCTATAAACTTGCTCTCCTAGCAGACATGTCAGATATTCACAATGTTTTTCATGTGTCACTGCTAAGGAAATGGGTTACAGATGCCCATCAGAGAATTTCATATGATGAAATTGAGCTACAGAAGAATCTGACTTATACGAAAGAACCATAAAGAATGCTAGATTTTGACACTAAACAGCTGAGAAACCGTCATATCCCTTATGTTAAGGTGAAATGGAAATACATACCAAAAAAGAGACAACCTAGGAGAGGGAAGAAGATCTTAGGATAATGTTTCCTCATCTATTTAATAACAACTAAAAAGAATGAATTTCAATGATGAAATTTTAATAAGGGATGAATTATAATACCCAAAGTTCTGTTAAAAGTAAGCATGAATATTTCTCAATAAAATTATTATTTATTTTCTCACATATATGAAAAATGTAAATTTATTTTCATTAGCTTCTAATTTTAATTTCGATCCTCATACTAGATTTATATGTATTCATTTAAAAGGCACATTAACATTTAAATATAATTATTGTTTCTTTTTTTTTTAAACAATTAATTAAAAGTATTAGCTGAAATAGCACTTAAGTAGCATTTACTTCAATGTAAGATTTAATTGCTACAGTAAATAATACATTTTCCTATTTCAGTAAATATAGAATATCCACTAAGCAAAGCATGCAGTTGGCTGATCAGATTATGCGGCTGGGTATGTTTTGGGAAAGTAGTAGTGGAATTAGGAATATAATATTATAACACTTAGTGGAATTGCCTACTTTCACAAAAACCATTTTTCCCCTCCCATCCACGAGGCTCTTTTGCCTTTGAAGCCGCTCTGTGCTGTCGGGTGAGCCAGAGGATGGGGAGGCGAATAGAAAGAGGATCTAAAGCCACTGTTTGCTGAAGCTAAAAACAAGGTAAGGAAATTTTGTTCTTAAATTTAGGTTTTCTGACTTGCAGTATAAGAATTTCTGAAGTATAGTGTGTCTGTTATGGGAATTTCTGAAGTATAGTGTGTATGAGCTGGCTGAAAATCTTGAATGTTGTTGAATTCAGGAAACAGTGAAGCAAAAATAGGTACAGGAGTGCTATGGTTGCAGTTGGGTTATTGCCTGTGGCTGATTTTTAAAGTAATGAAAGGTAGGAAAGAAGTTTAGTATTGTAAAAAGCTAAAGAAATCAGTAATTATATTTTTTGTATCATTGTGTGCAGAAATAGTAAAGAGAATAGTGAAAACTATTGTTATTGTTGCTGAAATTAGTATATATTGTAGCTGAAAAATGAATTTCTGAATGCGGAGTGTGCTGAATTTAGTAGGGAAAGAAGAAAGAAGGAAAATAGGGAGATTAGGAAGAGAAAAATATTTTATGGAATGAGAAAGAGTGCAATTGAGATTGTATACAAGAGAAAAGGAAGACGAAGTCTAGGAGACCAAATTCCTATGGATATAAGATACCCAAACGATGCTATATGAATTAATAAATATTCTATTTAATTGCATTTTATATTTATAATGCTTATGATTGCATTTATTTCAGTTTACCCAGTTTATTTATGTATGAACATATATGAATATTTTTATTCATAGAGTAATGTTTGTAATAGCATATGTAAAGAGGGCTAAAAAGGATTCCTATTGAGAATGTGAAATAAGACATATATGGGGGATAGACCCGCATAAGTAAAGGTGAAAGACCTGATGAGGTAAGCCTACATGGTACAAGTACAAGAAAATCCCTGCAAACACTGATGAGGGGTTGCAACAAATATATCAACTAATCTATCTGCAAACGTACAGAGTGTAGCTTATGATAAATGCAAACACCTAATGCAAATGACAGAAGATTTGTTGTATGTACAATAGCATGTCTACAGCTAATAATCAACAACAAGTAATGAATGCTACAATGCCCTTATAGTTAATAACTACTCAATGGTAGGCAAATACATCGATCTCCTGCAAACAAAGGCGGTCAATATGCAATAAATGCAAACACTTGCGAGCTACTATAGGAAACATATCATACACCCGACATGCTATCAATGAAAAAAATGAATAAGGAATACATTAAATACAGACATCTACGGGTAGCGCTAGAACATCTACATTAACGCAGCTCGCCCGCGAGTAATAGCAGAAGACTGAAAAATGCATACAATATTCCCAACTACCGGACGCATGTGACAGTAGTAGGCATAAGGGAAGAGATCGCAGCGAATGCAACATATAACTTGGCAGCAATTAGCTCGTGACGAATGTAAGCATCTACGAGCAACTGCAGGAGATTTGTTGGTGCACGATAGTCTACCTGCATAAAGTAGCAAATGATCTTCACTGCAATGCTACAATTCGCTTGTAATCAAAAGCAAGAAATCAATAGTAAAATGTTGTGAGTCACTAATAAAATGAAGTAATAATTTTGCAACGCCAAGCTGTCATGCCAGATAAATCAACTCGCTTATAAACAACAAGGGAAGACTTCTGATACGACATGCAGCACGCTTGAAAGATGAAGTACACTCCGTAGGCTGAATATTGAAGAAGATAGTGATATGCAGACGATGAAGTGAACTAAACTGTATTGCCGATTCGCGACAAATGAGACCCAACACACTGATAAACAATGCCACCAAATCCACAACATACACACAAGTGGACAGAAGGCGTGCTCCTAAATAGAACTTCGTGCACCTTTTAAATGATCATCATTCGTGAAATTCATCATGTTTGAATATTGCAAAAACACCCCCATGCATTGAAATGCATATTAATGCATTCACATCATGCATATGCACGTTGCAAAATATAAAGCACATCTTGCAAGCATGTTATCAAACATGTAAAATACACCGTGTAGCAGCAGCACGCTACGCTGACTTACAAATACATTGTGCACTACATGAAAGCGTTGGATTATCATGTAAATATATTGTGCAAGCAAACAGAAAATGTATGAACATATTATACGTACATACTACACACTAATGTGTTACGCCACCATGCAATATGCAAAATATCACACTGCAACTAAACAATATGCAAATGCACAATACATCATACATGCATACATATGAATATGTAGCATACACCTGCTGCACTGCATACATGCAACTGCTGCACAAGCACATTATACAAAATACATGCAATTAAATATCTACATGGGTCTCAAAGAGCATGTTGTATGCGCACACGTAATGTCTAAGGATGTTGCGGAGTCAAGAAATAAACCTAAGTTCGAGTCTAATCCTTTTATATGAATAGATAGGAGTCGACAACGTTCGAACAATCAAACAAATATACGATTGTGATATCAACTGGAATATTTATTTTATTCATTCATATAGGCCTTCAAGGTCTATTATAAGAAAGATTCATTAATAAAGGCATAAAGCTGATAATGATCCTGACCCTATGTTGTCAAGTAGACAAAGTTGACATGGTTCAACCAAAAAAATGAAATTGCCCAAAAGTACCCCGATGATGGTCGTGTTCATAGGAAATTACAACCATACGGGACCTTAAATATTTAAAAAATTACTCCCAAGTTCCCAAATGTCCAATAAAAATAAAAAAAATTCAAAAATCACCGCAAAATCATGAAATTGAAATTGAAATAAAAGACCTAAACACTTAAAACAAAATATGCATTCACTATTTGCAACAGTTTGCCGAGCTCACAAAGAGCAAATGTCTGGTCAAGAATATTACTAGAATTCATTCTCAATTCATCTCTTGCCAGTAAGACATGACACGTATTCTCTAACTTATGGTTTCGCTGCCAAATGGCACAACAGATAAACGGTTATGACTTACCAAGTGATTTTGCTGCCAAATAGCACCATTAAATTACGTTCATGCTCAGAGCTCATATGTTCTCCAACGACATTAAATAATTGAGTAATGAATCAATAGGATATGATCGATAGGACACAAAGCCCTCTGTTGGCTAAGGTGGATTTAAATATGTTCTCATAGACAAATATTCACCTCACGTCTACAAGGTACCCTTAGACGACGCAACCCATGGCTGCCGACAAGGATCCTTCTGTCAGGTTGGATCAACTACCTCCTCTGACTAAGTAGGCTAGGGACCATAATGGCCCGTGACGATGGAACCATAGGATCTTGATTGGGTCTATCATCATTTCCCCACCATCTGCTTTAAGTGCAAGGTGGTGAATTTTTAATTTTAAATATCAAATCATGCTACTACTATATGTCATATACAATGTATCTATTTGATGACTAGCCTTAATTAAAAGTTCTCTCTCATTACCGAGAAGGGTAATTAATAATAAGGGCTTTTGCCTATATAAAACCTGAATTCAAATCATAAAGTTCTCATAAAAAGAGGGCAAAATCTCTAGATAATGTTTTATTAAAAACCCAATCTGCCTTCTAAAAATTTGGCTTGGAACTTAAGTGTTAAAACTCTCCTCGACGACCCAAAAGAAAGAAAGGGGCCACGAAAAGGCCGGGGAGCGAATTTTCAGAGCCCATAACCTCGTCAAGCCAAATTGAGGCATATGCCTCATGGAGTTTTTTTTCAAATGTATATTGAGGCGAGCGTAGAGCAACGACTTTTATTATGTAATTTTAAATAATGCTTTCAACAGATTAAATGACAACGATTGATTATGTTGATAGGACTTGCACATATTCAGATTAATGCATTTCTTCTTCATTAAATATCTTGTGGTGGACTATAGGCATGGATTGGGTATGTAGGGTAGCAGATTATGGGATTGAATTATGGAAGGGAAATCAAATAGAAAAAAATGCTTTTCTTTTTCTTCATAACTTATATTTCTTCATTAGGATAAGTAGGAATAATGCAGTATTCTTTCGCATTAAAGGTGACAATAGCGGAATAAAACTTATGGGAGTTGAGGTAGTATTTGTATCCTATTTTGGCCAGGAGAATACTCAACAAAGTCACATTTAATTGCCTATGGATCAGATTTTTCTTTTTGGAAGGGGTATAAACAAAGACAATGGTACCAAATATTTTAGGAACACAATAATTCGAGGCATTGAACTGTAGAAATAAATTGTTTAGGAATTACATTAAACTTCTAAACGCAAGAAATCATGTAGGTAATTAGAATATGATCTAAGCAAACGTTTATATAGCTTCCCCAAATAAATTATAAAATAAAATTCTAAAAAATGTTTTTTAGTAACAACATTTTATTGGGGTTTATATACCAAAAGAATTCACGTATTATTCCTTTTTCTTGAAAGTATGAGGAGAAAAGTGATTAAATAAGTTGTTGGCGTTATTAGGTCAAACTATTTATTTAGACACAAAATTAAGATAATTGTGGGCTCCAAAAATTCGGCCACAGCCTCCACTCGCTTTTCTTATTCGGCGAGTGAGTTTTAACGAACTAAGTTCCGAGATAAATTTTGGAAGGCAGATGGGTTTGTAGATAAGACACTACCCAGAGATTTCGCCCTCATTTTGTGAGGACTTTATGATCTGAGTTCTGGTTTCCTATAGGCGCAAGCCCCTATAGTTAATTACCTCTCCCGATCACGAGAGAGAACTTTCGATTAAGGCTAGTCGTCGATCAGATACGTAGTAGATACGTGTTATCTGGCATATAGTAACAGCAATGGGTTTGGATTGGAAAGATTGGATATTTGGGAATTTGGGGTTGAAATATTTAGGAAATTTGATATTTAAAATAAAAATTTCACTATCCTGCACTTAAAGCTGATGGTGGGGGAATGGATGATGGACCCGATCAAGATCCCATGGTTTCTGTCATCCGGGCCATCGTGGTCCCTGGTCTACTTAGTCAGAGGAGGTAGTCGACCCAACCTGACAGAAGGATCCTTGTCGGCAGCCATGGGTTGCTTCGTCCAAGGGTACCTTGTAGACCGGGGTTGGATGTTTGTCTAAGGGGACAAAATTTGAATCCACCTTAGCTAACAGAGGGCTTTGTGCCCTATCGATCATATCCTATTGATTCATATCTCAAGGATTTAACGCCATTAAGGAGCGTATTGGCTCTGGCCATAAACCGCTATCTGTGGTGCCATTTGGCGGCGAAAACCACTCGTTCAGAGGGCCCCGAGTCATAACCGTTTACCTGCAGTGCCATTTGACGGCGAAACTGCCGGTTAGAGGACACGTACCACGTCCTTACTGACAAGATATTGTTTGACAATGGATCCTAGTATATTTTCGAATAGGCATTTGGCTCTTTGTGAGCTAGAGTTTATTTGAATTTGTCCACCCCGGCAGACTGTTGCGGAGGGTGGATGGGCTTTGCTTTAAGTACGGATGGATGATTTCAAATTTAAATATTTTTGGATTTTTGGGATTTTGAGATTTTTGTGAAGTTTTCTGGAATTTTAGGATTTTTGTGGGTATTTGGGTGGAGCTATGGAATATTTGTAATGGACTTTGGATATTTGGGAGACATTTGAAATATTTGGAACCCCTCCGGTTGAGATATGCATTCAACACGGCCATCATCGGGGTATTTGGGGGGCATTTTTATTTAAAGCTTGAACCTTGTCGACTCTGTCTGGCTATCGACAGAGGATCGGGTTTCGTATAGGCTTCGTGCCTTTATCAGTGAATTCTCTTGATCATAGGCCTTGAAGACCTAATATAAATGGATTAAAATAAATACACCAGTTGACACAACCGTGTATTTATTTGAAGGTTCGAACCTTGTCGACTCCTATTGATCCATATAGGAGGATCGGGTTCAAACTAGAATTCACTTATTGACCCGCGCAGCATCCCTAAACGTCACGTGTGTACTAATAACACGCTCGCCGGGGCCCATGCGGGTATTTGATTACATTTACCCTTTTAGTGTGCCTATGTGTATACAAACTATTGTGCACGTGCGGGGGTGTTTTTGGAATAGACGCCTTCTGTCTGCTTGTATGGAGGTTGCAGATCCGGTGGCGTAGCAGCTTTTGTATAGAATTGTTCGCTGCTTCGTACAGGTAGACTGTCGTGCACTATTTGTTGATTTCTGTAGGTGGATCATAGTGCAATAACTAATCTCCTGCTTTAGATCGTAGGAGCTTGTACTTGTCGTATTTTCTATGCATTTGGTTGTGGTCCTTGGTCATCAGTGCATCCGCCACAGCTGCATGTTGGTAGGTAGATGTCTTCCTTTACAGATTGGAATTGACTTCAGGATACTGCATTTACTGAAGTCTTTCTGCATCTACCCATAGATGACATTTAACATATACATTTGTCTTCGTAGAGTGATAATATGTGTTGCAGATCTTTTAATTCTCATTCCTGAGCAACTTGGATTTTATTATGACTAGTTTCTT